GGGGCACATTACTATCGGAAAGGGCACCTAAAAATTTTTTCCCGGAAATGTTGTCGACGGGGGGGGGGGGGGGGAGAAATTTCTCCTGAGGAAAATTTTCCGTCGTATCATACCGAAATTTATGTTTGTGACCTAATTTTTAAAAAAAATTTGTAAATTTCCACACCAAAACGGCACCTATTGTTTTAATTTAGTATTTACAGCGACATTAGCTTCTACAAAAGGGGCACTTTTCCTCACAAAAAAGGGCACTTTTCAACACAAAAAGGGCACTTTTTATCACAAAATCCCGCTTCCTACGCCCCTGATTATAAGCTTTATTATTAGCATGACAAAATTACTCGATGCTGATTGGTTGCTCAAGAGGAGTACAATTATTTCATTAATTGTACTGCAGTACAATTAATGATTTTCCCAAAACAGACAAAATGGCGGAAAGGTTTTTAGACACAAATGAAATTGCATTAATTGCCCTAGAGGAACTTATAACAAAATAGCTAAAAATACGAACAAAAGCACCAAATTATATTGCTTGAAAGTCTGGCAGTACTGGTTATCCAATCTTGAGTAAGAAATTAGTCACGTGCATACGTCTTTATACCAGCTAAAGAACACTTTAACAAAAGACCATTGTTATGCAAACTATATAAAGATTTTTATATAAAGATTTTTATATAAAGATTTTTATATAAAGATTTTCATATAAAGATTTTTATATAAAGATTTGACTTATTATGCAAACGTTTTTGAAGCCATTTAAAAAACTCGCAGGTCGTGTTTTATTAGGTCTAAAGCCACTCGCGCTGCGCGCTCGTGGCTTTAAACCTAATAAAACACGCCTGCTCGTTTTTTAAATAGTACTTATAAAACAGTTCAGATTAGAACAAGCTATGGACTATTTTACACAGTCAATATCAGCTAAAATTTCGCATTTCAATCCCAATGTACTCATAATTGAATACGAGTACAATAGTACTATCAAGGCCTGACATCCTAAATTTAGCCAGTCAGTGAACTAGTGGTGAATGATATTATTTTAAAATTAAATTTCTAAACATCGCTTGTCCAGGTAATTATAGCGGACAGTCTCCATGCATTAGATCGATTTTGCCTTGTGTCTTTTGACAGACACAAGATGGGAGATTTAATTGATTTGAAAAGTGCATGGAAAGTCCTTAAAGAAATCACCTACAGACGGGTTTTGGTGGTTTTCATGTCCAAAATCCTGATTTTTTGTTCTTTTTTCTTGAAAGGATTTCGTCTCAATAGTAACAGTGGAACGCCTTATTCAGGAAAAGTGGAGGTCTTACACGCGAACAGATGGTTTGGACTTTTTCGAAATTTATTCAAACGAAAGTATCAGAGAAGAATATGTAATGTCCTAGGATATCCGGGAGCGATGAGAATATGGATTTACAAGACGAAGCAAAGACAATTGGTAGCCACTATAATGAAATGGAATGGAACCGAAGTAAAATATAGAGTGTACATTGGAGGGGTGCAAAATGTTGCTGGTCTAACTTGTAAAAAAGGTATAGGTTAAAATAATTAAGGCCGTTTTCAATTACCATTGTTTTACCCATGTGGGTGGGACGGGTTAGCTTGTTTGAGCACGGTTTTCTAGCTTGACAATGCTGTCATACGTGAAAGCTGAATCACTGACATTGAAATGTACTAATGCACCTGACTTCAATTGGTCGGTCGTCCTGCGTCCTCGATTTTTAAAAGCACTTTGCTGCACTTTAATATTTATTATTAGAATTCGTGTTCCGCTTGGTACTTCTCTGGTAACAATTTTGAATAACCGCTACAATAATGGAGCACTTGAAGCTTTTAGAAAACTTCAACGCTCGGAGCTCAAGTTGGGTAAAGCCAAACTAGATCTTGAATTTCTGAAAGCATGCAAAAAAGGCTCGGTAATACCACGATTCCTGTGGTTCAAGGTTGCGAATCGCCGTTTTGCGGAACTCCAGAGCCTACAGACAATGTCAGAACAAACTGTTACAAGATGAAATCAACGCCAAACACGCAAGAATAATCTTTATTAAAAATGTTAAAATTAATGGTTTATGGCTCTTTTAAAAGCACTTTGCTGGGCTTTAATATTTATTATTAGAATGCGATTGTAATCGATAAATTGCTGCATGTGAGTAGATGATATATGGGTATACACACATCCTACTGCAGTATGACGTCTATAACTATACTTTAACAACATTATAAATGTACTTAAATTATTAACATATAGACCCATTGTACCCGGAAAAATGAACGAAAGTGGAGTTCATTATTCCGCATTCTGAGTGGCGGTTCGTTTCACATTCTCCTCCAAATTTCATGTATTAGTTGATTATAAGGTCAACTGCAAGAGGTCCAGTGGTTCGCTGGAGGATTTGAAATCATCATTGTATATAAAAAATATATTGCTGCAATACAATTATTGCTGAAATGGATTTAGAAGACTATGTTTCTTTTCTTTTCATTTTAGCAATTCGGTTAGTAAATAGTGATAATGGAAATAATAGTGACCACTATGGAATTGTTGAAATTTATCGTGATGCGAAATGGTGGAAGCTGAGTGACAATCAATGGAGTAACGCTGATGCTAATGTTGCTTGTCATTACCTGGGCTATGACAGAGCTTCCGAAATCTATACTGAGACATTTTCAAGGATAAATGCGACAATTTTATCTGTTGATTTCAAATGCCGTGGTAACGAAGGAGAACTAGCCGACTGTTTTCAGGAACAGCGAAAAACGAACGCTAGTTACAAAGCTAAAGGTTCTGGTGTGCGTTGTACTGTTGATGGTAAGTCGTCGTGCAGGATGAAATATATACATGCGCACTGGCGTAGGAACCAAGGCGGTGGGAGGAAGGATAGACCGTCCTAAAATTTTGTAAGGGGGTTTTATTCCTCCCTCCCCCTAAAAATAGATAAGGTGCGCATAGATTTGCTGAATAAGTCATATGCGTATAGATATGAAACTTGTAGAAGAAATAGTATTTGACATAGAGTAGATATTTTTTTATTTTTTTAAACTGCGAGCTCTTTCCCATCAAGTTCAATCATGCTTCATCTGCTGGCTATTATAGCCCGCTGAGACCCCAACAATTCATTCAATTTACCAAAACCGAACATGAAACAATTTTTGCAACATTTTTGTCAATTAAATTCTTCAATATTGCGCCAAAACTGTGTGCAGGAAATGATATTTCCGAACCTCGATTTTAACTTTTTTTACCGGACCCCCATTTCAACGATAGAACGAGGCATATTACATACTGTAAACATGAGGAAAACGTTATGAATTCATATTATGATCATTATGACTCAAATTAAGTAGAAGACATGCTCTTTACCATGTACAGGGTGTCCGCTCTTTTGTTGGAAAACGCGCATTGTTATACCTATGGGAATTTAATTTAATTGCACATGAATGGCGGAATATTTATAACTTTCCGATCGTCCAAATGATCTAACACGACGAAAGTAAAACAAAACTATTTCACAAATAAATGGTTTCTGTTTATTTCAAATTAAATTAAAAGTTATGGGCCTTAAAAAATAAAGTTAAGTTATGCCCTTCAATGTGTCCCCCATTTCGTTCGACGCAAAAAATGCCGGGTTCGGTTGTGCATGTGGCGTACTGCGTTATGGATCATTTCAGGCTGCTGCCGTACTGTAAAACGTTAAATTCATCGATTATCCTCTGGCGTATAGCACCGATGTTCCGGGGTGGAGTGGAGAACACTTTGTTTTTAAGATACCCCCACATAAAAAATCACAAGGGGTTAAGTCCGGCGATCGAGGTGGCCATTCCACGTCACGGTGCAAAGCTATCAAACGATTCTCTCCAAACACTTCGCTAAGGCGATCTCTTACTTCAATAAGGCAATGTGCTGGAGAGCCGTCCTGTGCTCACCAAAGACCCCTGAACATTCCTTCCCAATACTGGTTGTTGAAACGAATGACAAGTTGTGGGAAAGCAAATTCACATTTTGATCAAAAACGTAAGGTCCCAAAATCACGCCATTCCCGAAAAGTGCTGTCCGGACAGTGAGCTTTTCACGAGAATTCCTGCGTTCAAAGTTAAAGGCCTGTAGGTGTCCCTTTGGTGCATGCATACTGGCGCACATTGTGAGAGTTGACTTGTCCATTCATTGTAAATCCTGCTTCGTCTCCAATAATGATATGCTTTGCCAAAAATTGGGGTTTCGACAGCGTTGATTAAACCATTGGGCATAGCGTATAGTCGACGTGGCAAGTCGTCTGGCAATAGAGATCTTACGATTTAGGATGGTAACGCGACGGCAATGGCTACCGATGCAATAAATCATTGAATAAGAATTGAATAGTAGCGATTGATACACCAGATGGAAAGCGTAATTTAAAATGAAAATTAAAGCCCAGCAAATGACTTTCAGACAAGACATAACAAACTGTAAAATTTATTGGCTAACGTTTATAGTTTAACGTTTATTGTTTATACTTATATAGTTTAAATTTTATAGTTTGTTATGTCTTGTCTGAAAGTCATTTGCTGGGCTTTAATTTTCATTTTTAAATTAAGAATTGAATAATTACGATATATACGAATAATTTAGACATTGTCCTCACTCTGTTTGCAACGCCAAATCACAGATTTTCACGTCTTGGTACAACGGCTGCATTTCAAGCCGCAACATGCAAGTGCAACTTCAAACTGGGTTCAGCCGAACTCTTCCCAACCATAAAACCCATGTCTTCAACTTCTAAGACTGTATTAAATTCATACGATTGATAATATACGACGAATTATCTTTACTACCATTTATTTGAAGGAGATTGTTTTGGCCGTCGTCGTTGCGTTGCCCTCCTAAAATCGTAAGGTCTCTATTACAAAGTTTAAGTTCGACTTCCAATACCGATACCGATACCGATGTTTTCACTTCCGTTAGATAAAGTATAGAACATATTAATCGTCACCGAAAATGTGCGGCATACATAACGGCAGCTGTGCTAAAATTCCGACTAAAACATGACTCGGCGATGCTAATAAACAAATAGTTTACATGTTTATCGTAAAAATTATGAAATATCCGATTTATATGAGTTTATCTTACAATTCCCCCGACTTCCAATACAAGGCCGTCTTCGGTAGTGGTGACTTCCAACACACTTGTCCTCGTGCTTCTTGCGAGCAGAGAGCATGCGCATGACATGTTGTTAGTATCGGTATTGGTATCGGAAGTCGAACTTAAACTCTCTATTACCTCGTGCCGTACGAGCATTCGGGTAAGGATGCCATAGTAAATCTAATCTTGTAATCCTGTTGAAACTCGATTTTGAAACTTCAACAGTATCACGACGAGCGCTATATAACACCTCGTGGGGATTCCTCTAGCAGAACTCTCGCAGCAGCAACGTTTTCTTCACTTCGAGCAGTTCTTCGCCTGCCCGAATTGCCCTTGTTTCGATTTAAGTTTGTTCACCTGTGTTGTGGTATTAACTATTAAGGAACGCTTTTCAGAATCGTCTTTTTGTTAGGTGGATTCCGATCAAGAAATCGTATTCTAAACGCGTTTTTCACTTCAGTTACACTTTGCGTTAACGTATAAGTTGTTACGGCAAATGTTTCTTGACATTGATTTCTCGTGTAAAATTGACTATAAAATGATATTAATAGGAAGTTACACTTGTTCTCGAAGTATTGATGAAAAATTACACTTGTGTTTGGCGAAATACTTATAAACACGCGTGGGATTTTTCATTAATACTTCTTGGAACCATGTAATTTCCTGTATACTAGTACTTATTTACTTAAGAAGACGGTTGTCATTATGATGCTATATCAGTTCTGTATAATTACTACACTTTCAAATATTTGCGTTTGTGGGAATTAAGCAGCATATGTCTATTGCTTTGCCAAAACTTTCAATTCGCAATCTGCCTCGATTATTATTGGATGGTGTTAAAACTATCGTGGTAAATTTATTTTGTTTCCTCCTGTTTGACTGCAAATTGAGTGATTAAATGTGAGGTAAACTCCAACCAGAAAACAAAAATTTTGCATATTCTAACTACATTAGTTTCAAGTATGGCCTTGTGCTAACTGCTTAGGAAAACTGTCCATCCATGCACCTCAACCCCTGAAGCTTATAATTATACTCATTCGAACACCAGCGATAGGCTTACTCTGGGGCGGTAAATCGCCCAAAATCGCATTATCTCACGGCGATTTAAGGCGATTTACCGCCCCAGAGTAGGCCTAGCGATATTACATGCATGCATGATCTACTTTTAAGATGTGTTATATTATTATATACTCGCGATATAAACTGAATGATGAATATAATTTAGATGAAGCACTTTTGCAAGTCACACTATTTTTATTGCATTTTAGGTGAGGAGCTTTGTAAAACTTGCGAATGTCAAAATCGTTCCGTGAATTGTTATGGCAAAAATTTAAATTGGATGCCGTGGATTCCAAAAAATTACACAGCTGAGAATATACAAGAGTAAGTACATTGCGATTGTTGCAGTCAGCAAGTAATCATGTTACGATCGAAGATACTAAAGGCCGATTTCCACTTCAACTGTATCGTTATTCGTAACGTATCGTAGCATATTCTTTTGTGTCGAAGTCATTACAGTAGTTCCATTCTAGTGCATGCTCATGCAGGAAACAAAGAAATCTGCTGCGCTTCGGTGCGATATGGTTGAAGTAGAAAACGGCCTTAAGATGACGTTCACGAGAAGACAATCAAGTGGTTTTTTTCAATGAGTTCTCCACTACAATAGATTTAATCGGTTGCAATTGTCAGCTAATTAACAAAATAAGTAATAATCCCCTAGCCGACGGCGAGGGTACTAATTCCTCCCGGCTATTTACACCCGGGGAACGAAAGCATTAGCGAAGTCTAAAATTCATCAATTATCGCGGGCGTGGGTGACCAACGATGGGTGGTCAACGATGGGTGGTCATCCTCACTGACCTCAAAAATATGGCGGACTGTCATGAATAGCGGACACTGATTGGTCCAATTTAAAGTTTGCATTATAACGACTGCATGACGACAGCGAAATAGCGAACATTTCTTGATTTGATGATTGATAAATTTCTTGCAAATATATATCATTTTTGCTCGCATTTTTGCAAGATTTTGTAAATTTCAAAAGCTTTCTCATAAAGAAAGGGCGAAAGAATCGGCTAAAAGAAGGGAGCCGACGTTAACAAAGGTAAGTTTGTTTTAAATATTGATTTTATAATGGATTTAAAATCCGACTGCCTTTGGCCCTTTGCGTATATGAAACAACTAAACAAGACAGCACATAATTTCAGTGTATCTTTAATATTGATTCCTATTATAATATTAAATTTTTTAAATAAATAAAAAAGAAAGCAAAGTTATTTGCATGCGAGAATTTGAAATCATTTTACTGCAAACTCAAAGTTTATCGATAAAGCCATTGCATTAAAGGCACTTTTAGTTTAGTTTTATAAAGAACACTTTAAAACGTTTGGCGAAGCGTTTGTGGTTGAATTTTACCTTAAATTGAAGCTTATATCACGTATAAAAACATTCCTAACATATATATGTTGGGAAATTGATAATTTTGTAATTAAAAGTGATATTTTAGGCGATATATTTTTCATTTGTAAGAATATTCTTAAAAAATTATCGTGTTACCATGACAACTGCTTTATATATTTCTTGTTCGAAAAATACAATGGTTTTGTCAGAAGGCGAGGGTTTCTGCATGCATGTATTTTCTAGTATATAAAAACATAGACACAGTGATAAAACATGTCAGCTATTTATGGCGGACCATTAGACAAGTGATGGGGTGGGGGGGGGGGTCGCGCCAAGGGAACCAAAGGGGAAAACAGAGCAAAGAGGAAAGCATGCAAAGGAAAATATCTTATATATTTAAAATTCCGAAAAAATATTCATGCAAGTTAAAAATCCCCTCTCCCCCCACCCCCAAACACTTTTCTAATGGTCGGCCTCTTTGTGCTAGTTGTAAGAAAATATGTGCCCCCCCCCCGTTTGTAATTCTCAAATTCACGCCTTATTATCTCTGTGATGTAACAGTAGAGAAACATAGAAACATATAATCTACTTTTTTCTCCACAGGTACTTGCTTGGAAAAAATGCCATTCATACCGTGAACAAGTTCCATCTTCGGGAATTCACTTACGTTCGCAAACTGTAAGTCATTTTAGGATATCAAACAATTTATTGTATTCACGTGCAAGTACAAGAGCCCTTGCCAAAATTAATTATTCTTCAAAGTGATGCAATCGGCCATCCCATTGCATGCATGGTCCACTGTATAACTAAAGTGAAATGTGAAACAGAGTACCGCAACAGAGTAAATATTTGTAAAGTTCGTGAAGATATACTGAAAGTAAGAAAAATGTATAGTGTCAAAATTAAAGAATTAAAACCGGTCCGACATTCGAGAGGAGGCTTATAATTATTACCAAGAAATGCGGCTATATTAATTAACGCTTCTATGTCAAACCAGAAGAGGAATGAGACTATGAGAGTCTTCCCGAAATGCAACGCGCGCCTCATTAGAATTCACACCATATTTATTCAGCAAAATAAAGCAAAGATATGTTTTGATAACATTTTTGTTTAGTAATTTAATAAAAGAATTTTTGGAATAGTTTTGTATATATATATATATATATATATATATATATATATATATATATATATATATATATATACAACTATACTTTAAAACATGAATTTACTCCATAAAACCGAAGAGTTATCGCGGTTTGAAAATGAGCTATTTTTGCTATATTCTATAATATAGCATGCAATCGAACGACGCGTTGAGAATAAATATTTATAATAATAGCCTAATGAGCCACGTATTGAGGCGTGCATCGCATTTCGGGAAGACCGTCATTCCTCCTCTGATTTCAAACTATTATTAGGTATTATAATACTAATTTCAAAAACAATTTCCCGCAGACCAATCGATCTGATGTGGCCATTTACCAATTGTCGATTTCACATAGTGAGAAATGTATAGTCGTACTCCTGAATGTTTTGACACAAAAACATGACACGTTTCTTTGGGCGAAAAGAAGGATCCGCGATTTTTGTAATAATCTTTTTCAAATAAATCGACTACTAATTACGGCTGCTTGTTTTAGGAACTGTAACAGTTCCTATACGACAAGCAACTGTCCAAAAAAGCGTGTTATTAACTTTTCACGTGTATGCATGAACGCGATTGACGGAATCGTGAAAATTTTGTTGCCGTTCCGAATTCATCCATTGCTGCAAAATGCTGAATAATTGCATGAACAAATGTGCCATTTTTACAGCATATTTCAAACCTCCTTTTTCTTATTACTACAGGGATTTGTCAAATAATCGGATATCACAAATTCAAGAAGACTTGTTCGTATACACAAACCAACTAAGAGACTTGTAAGTTTTGTCATACCTATACATGCATTACGTTACTGTATCCCTGGAACCCACAAAGTTCGTACGAGTTGTGGAAAGCGTCATAGAGGGGGGGGGGGGTACGTTTGTGCGGAGAAAAAGTTTTACACGATTACAACGACGATTTTAAGACCCGTTGCGCTTCCATTTTCCTTTTCATTATTTGCTCGTTTTTTAAAATAATTGCCACATTTTTAGTAGTAGAATCCACCCGATTTTTAAGTATAATTGCCCGATTTTTAAGTAACTGCCCGACTTTAAAATGACGTCAAGTGCAAACCAAGAATAACTGAAATAGAAAGGAATTCAAAGCATTAGCGAAGTCTAAAGTTCATCAATAATCGCGGTCACGTGGCTATGATCCAAGGCTATGATCCTCACTGATCTCAAAATATGACTGTTTGCCAGGAGTGGGATAAGCAAGATTTCAATTTTGAAAACCATATGTTTCGAAAAGAATTTCTTACAGTGAACGTTGAAGCAATTTTTGTTTAAAAATGAGAAGAATTGTGAAGTATGGGAAATCGTGAAATATAGGACAAGTTTGCTTTGAATGATCAATCAGTTTATGAATTTTGCTGCTGCCATGTTAATTGCATTGCTTTCCTTTGAATGAACCGGTAAATTTCTAAATTACCTGTTTAATTTTTTTTTAAAAACTTAAAATGGAAAGGAGAGCAAATTATTTGAAGACCGAACTGAAATTACTCAACAGTAGACCTTTTTAAAAAGTCTGCCTTGTGACGTAGTTTGTGGATAAAGGAAAATCCCGCACAGCCATTTGGCTTGCCTGATTGGCCAAATGATCGTATTTATCGGAAAACTACGTTTCAAGGCAGACTTTTTAAAAATGTCTATTGTTGACCCATTACGAATACTTCATGCTAAATCAATGTTTGGAAAATATAGGCGAGCTGAGGGGTCACTGCATGCACGTATTTCTAGTACATTAATAAATGTAGAGAATATATTACACCACGGCTGTCATTCGTGATTCAGTTGACGCAATAAAGGGAAGGAATGGCGTGTGAAATGTTCGAGCACCAATTTAAAAAGTCACCCTTGCAACTATGCATGGGTTCACAGTCGTTCATAGAACGCCTGAAAGTCAAAATTAATTAAACAACAAATTTGAACGCATGTTAAGGTCAACAAATTTCCCCTACAAATTAAATAATCCTGAACGGTCTTTGCCAGTGTAAGTAGTACCAAATATTAAGAATTAAAAGCTGTGAATTGATAGGCATACAATTGCCTAAAAAAACACGAGGAGAACTTCGACGTTTCGAGCATAAAAGTTCACTAGCATAAAAGTTCATGTAATTTTCCCATAGAAATAATAGATATGGAATACGTACTCCTATCTTTTCTCAGTAAAAATTTTGTCTCCACAAAATGGCGGATCAAAGTGCATTTTGACTCGTTCCAGACTCCTGCGACAGGGAATTTCGCGCGGTTTCGAAGAGTGCGAATTGTTTTTTCAATAAAGTTTCCAAAACAGATTTGGAAAACAAAACCTTTGGACGATAAAGACTTACCGTATTTACTCGATTGAGCGCCACCCCCGAATGAGTGCCGCATTTGAGATCATTTTTTTTAAAGAGTGCCGACCCCGAATGACCGCTGCACTAATTCTTTTCAAATGCGGACCCTTTCAATGCGACGAATTTACGTCTTCTGATGTCGAGGGGGCATATCCAACGATGTCAATGGTTACGATGCAGCAGTTGCAGTTGAATCATGAAGAGGACATGAGTGACATTGGTATTTGTAAACTTGTAAACAGTATAAGAACTTTCCGCCGTCAAAATGCGGACATTTAGTAACAAAGACATTTAAAACTTGTTTATTTTATTGTTAAAAGTTGTTGTTACAATCCACAAATAAAATATTTTTTAAAGAGCGCCGCCCCCGATTGAAAACCGTATCTGAAGCACTGAAAATTTAAAGAGCGCCGCGGCGCTCAAACAAGTAAATACGGTAGTCTTAGCTTTGTTTATACTTTGTATTTCTCACTACTAGTCACATGCAATATGGCGGATTTGAAAGGGCATGCTTGAGAAAAAGTTGAGACATGATTCGTGATCAAGTATGCATTCTATATCTATTATTTCTATGAATTTTCCCGACCCCCGCTACTATATAACTTCCCGACGAAAGTTCTACAACATCGAAGTTCTCGTTGTATTTTTCAAGTGGTTGTATCCCTATCAATCCGCAGCTTTCTCATAAATTAAATACATTATCAACATACAAACATTTACGTTCAATATTGGATGTTAATTAAACAATTCTTTCTATCGACCATTTCAGGGACTTATCTGAGAACCACATATCAAGTATAGCACCAAATCTATTTGCATTTACTGGTCAACTCAGTTATCTGTAAGTATGCATGTTGTTTTGTTACTACCTAACAATGTGCATTTAAACTGAAACAAAAACACATGTTGTTTTTCCCAGATTAATAGAAGGTTCATGATAATTATTCTGGCATGCTAATTAATGTGTTCTACACATTTACAGGAATCTCTCAGGTAACCGAATCGAATCCTTGACATCTGAAATGATGAGAAATTTACACAGTCTAACAGTGCTGTAAGTGTATTAGTTTACTTCATCCACATATAATCGTCACCACCATTTCATCATATGAATGTTGTCATGAATCAAAATCATGTTGACTGCACATTAAGTTATCCATGCTTAATCATTCTTCTTGCATGAATATAATGATTTTTATCTTGTTAACAAAATATTTTTATTAGCTCTTTGTTGCTTTGCCTAATCCTAACGATAAACTTAAAAAGTTTTTTTTGTGTTTACGAAATTAATTAAAATACATAAACATTATTATTACTGTTACTGTACACGGCTGTACCGTCGAGGAAATCCAGTACTCCTTCAAATAGGGACATTGGTAATTAAACCGTGACGCTATGAATGCTAATGAACAAATATAAACCAAATAAATAAAAGTGATGTTTCCCCAAACAAAAAGCAAATTTTGTGGGTGGGGATATAGGCCCACCAACCCTCTCCCCTGTTTCGCCGCCCCTGGATTGACCATTAATTTAAAATAATTCGTTAAATTAATTGCAGAGACATTTCAAGAAATCAAATAAGACATTTTGATGAAAACCTTCTTGTTAATTTATGGAATTTGAAATTTCTGTAAGTAATTATTGTATTAAGTTGTTCTTAATATATATTAGTTCTTCTGTTGCTAATTAAGCTGGTATAGAAGCTTTTTCACAAAAGAATACAAATTTTAAAATGTTACATTAGATTAAATCTTTGAATTTCATAAGTATACCAAGAAACGTTATAGCGCAAGTCATAATTTCATTCCATTCCATTCCAGGTACACAGACCGATTCACCCACTGTTGTCATGCAAAAAAAATAAACCCTGAAGTCAATTGTTTTGCTCCGGCTGACGTCTTCTCGAGTTGTAGTGAGCTTCTGAAAAATGATTTTCTCGAGGTGTTCGTGTGGATTGTCGCTCTAATGGTTGCATGTGGAAACCTTGGGGTCATTTTTGTCAGATTTAATGTCGATACTAGAGGCTTACAAACATTATTTATCAATAGTTTGGTTTCGAGTGATATACTTATGAGCATCTACCTTTTAATCATTGGGTACAATAACGTGACATATAAAGGAAAATATTTTGAACACGACGAAAAATGGCGGTCAAGCAAAAGCTGCACCGTCGCAGGCGTTATCTCTTTAATCTCAAGCCAAGTTTCATTGTTTATGATAACGGCTATTACCACAGAACGATACTGGAGTATTGTCCATAACAGCAAAAGATTCAGCAGATTTGGAAGTAAACTAAGTTGGAACATTGTTAGTTTTGCGTGGCTGTTCGGCGGTGCAATCGCTATTTTTCCAGCCGTATTTCCTCGGTATTTTAACTCAACTTATATGACCTTTTACGGCCAGAACAGCGTTTGTCTTCCACTACAGTTACCTGATGAGAACAGAGAGGTTCTTGGTTGGGAATATTGTTTGGGATTATTTGGTTGTATTAATGCTGTTTTATGTATCTATGTAACGACATGTTACATTAGAATGTATATGTCATTGAAGCAGAATGACATTAGGAATACCACTACACGAAAACAAGAAGACTCATATCTTGCGAAACGGATGTTTGGTATAGTGGTGACAAACTTATGTTGCTGGATTCCTGTTGTCACTTTTACATTTCTCTCCCTCCATGGATTAACATCACATGTGAAAACGTTGCATGCATGGTCAGCGGTATGCCTCTTTCCTATAAACGCTGCTTTAAATCCTGTCATTTATACATTCTTTGCTCCTCGAGTGAAGAAGAAGATAAATAATTTGGTAAAGTTGGCAGATAGACGAACTACTAAAGTTTAATTTTCTCTAGTTTGTTGCATTTCATCTTTGTTGGGTTTCTGTAAGCGTTTATCCAGAGCAGTGGATGGTGGTCAATTTCAAAACGTCTGACCGCATTTATAGGAGCAGCAAAATTAATAAATATCTCTCGTAATTGTTTGCTATGCACAAATACCAGACGGCTACATAGAAAAAAACTTTCTCACCCTGTGATAAATATATATATATATATATATATATATATATATATATATGCCCAATTGTTAATTGGAAATTACTCTGAGCTTATATGATACTTTCAAAGTTGGTATCACAAAAAATAATATTTTTAAAAGCGTTTGAGGGGTTGACCACCTTCTTCAGCGTTAATGGTGCTTTATTTGGCAATAGTAACAATATTAAATATAGACGTCTTATTCGATGTAAATATGTGGTATCATTATTTTGTAAAATGCCAACACTTTTATTGCATGATAGTACAATTAGTTACCTATAATTTTACTAATAGCAAATTTATTATAAAATGAATTTTATAGTGTCTCATTAAAGTAATCATTGCATTAAATAAGGTAAATGTGATTTTCTTTAAGTAATTAATAATAATCTCAAAAATGAAAAAAGGTTAATAGATTTAAGAGGTATGGAAAATTTTTAAAGAATGCTTACTATCCTTTCCAGTAAGAATATAAAACAGTAACGTAAAAGTTCGTATCACATCAAGGCAATAAAACAGCACTAGCCGCTAGTATGTTACAGGGTCTGCTAGCGGTCTAAAATTAGTTCCTAAATGTTTCAATAATATGAACAAAAATTATAAAATAACATGTATATAACGCGTGTTCTGATTGGTCAAAAGCCGTGTTTGGATCAGGCCATCCAAACACGGAAGACTATCGTGTTGTTCTTATTTTATAAAACAATTACTTTATGGTTTCCGTGTTTGGATGGCCTGATCCAAACACTTGGGAATGTTGCTCGAGTAAAAAAAGCGGGCAAAATCACTCGCCTTCGGCTCGTTATTTCGCTCGCTTTTCTTAACTCTCGCAACATTCCCGCGTGTTTGGATCAGGCCATCCAAACACGGAAACCATAAAGTAATTGTATATTGAACCTGGCTATTTTTTCTCCGTTCCAAGGTCCTTCAAACAGCACTATGTTTCTTAACAATGCAATGAAATACAGATTAAACATTCTTCCACGCAAAAGATAAAAAACAAGTGTTTGGAAAACTTTACCTTTCTCTCGAAATGTCTGCTCTCTACCGCAGCAAAAAAAAGCTTTGCGATATCCTGCAGTTGACGCAAATATATTACTATTGCCTTGTTAGTTCATGTGGTAACTGTTTTCAGTTAACTGTTAATTTGTAACACTCAGCCAATTAGTGACTAGCATCACCATTGCATAAAATCGCGTCATTTCAAACCGTTTGCAGGATAGCCTTAAAATTCAACATGCACGGCGCACATGAATGAGAGTGTATATATATTTTGTTTGTTGATAATTTATATATTTATTGAAAAATGTGAAAATACGAAGTTTTTCATGTTAGGTTTAAACTAGAATAAATACTTCAATTTGTGTCAATTCTTCGAAATATGTTTCAGTATACGTTTAAAACCTTCCTGAAAAAGGAGTCGAATAATTGTGATGAAACCTTGCCGGTTAACAGTAAGTTAAGAAACACTAGAACACTTGCTATATGACCATCGCCCCCACTATATGCATTTGCCATGAATGCAGCATAAGCACAGCATATTTATTATAGAATGACCAAAATAGACACTGCTCCTTATACAGGAGTGCGATGTTTATCAGAAGGCGATAACTTGGTATCGTCCTAGAATGATATTCAGTAAATTTGACAGGCCCACGCATTGCCATTGACACAAAAGCCTAACACAAAACCTTGAACGCTGTTCATCAGTTTATTTCAAACAATAAATAAATAATAGTAATTTTTACCAACCTTCGCTCCAGGATATGATTATTCCTTGACCGACCTATTAATATCCGCAATTCCCGCTAAAAGTCTCACGACTGAGTGCAATTCCTGAGTCAGTACAGGACTGAGTCCATGTACCGTCGCTTGCAGGATGAACGGTGAGGTCGTTGATAAAAACATTGCCTATTCGCGTGAGAATTTTCGATATTTGTCAAGAGTACTTGACAGGTTCTGATCTGATTTTAACCCGTTGAACAACCAGATCCAAGCTTTGAAACCACCAAATGACCATAAATGATCATCAAAAACATTGAACTTTCTCGGTAAAAACATTGAACTTTGTCATGAGAATAGACAATACTTTACTGCGACCGTTCATCCTTAGTTCATTCAGTAAATGAGTCCGCCTTTTACAAATCGCAGCCCGCGATTTGTAAAACACGGACTCAGTCCGCGTTTTACAAATCTTAGTTCGCGATTTGTAAAACACGGACTCAGTCCGCGTTTTCCCGGTCCAGTCCAGTCCAGTCCGGTCCAGTCCAGTCCAGTCCAGTCCGTCTTTTACAAGTATGCCTATTAAATGAACTTACTAAATCACATAAAACTTACCGCTTTCGATCCTTTTAGGGACCATTCATTACCGGGGGTGGGCTTCAGTCCGCGATTTGTAAAACACGGACTCAGTCCGCGTTTTCCCGGTCCAGTCCAGTCCAGTCCGGTCCAGTCCAGTCCAGTCCAGTCCGTCTTTTACAACATGCCTATTAAATGAACTTACTAAATCACATAAAACTTACCGCTTTCGATCCTTTTAGGGACCATTCATTACCGGGGGTGGGCTTGCAAAATTCAATTAACAACCAAACAAAATATCCTGCCCCACCCCTGCATCACAAAAAAAATTCAATGACCCCCTTCACATGAATTCAAAAAAATAGTACCCACCACCACCACCACCACGCACCACCGACAATATAATAAATGTACAGTACTGTATAGAAATGAGCTCCTTAAACTTGTTGTAAAAGGCATCAGATCTTTCATTTACTTGTGCTTCCAACAATTAATATGCATGCCTATTTAACCCATTAAACTGCAGAGTTTCCTGTTGACGAGTAAAATCGTCTGGCGTAAATAAGTACTGGGGCGCAATGGGTTAACTAGAGACATTAGGGCCATTTATACGGAACAAAATAAGACGCGACTTACATAAGACGCGACTTAAATAAGACGCGAGTTTGTCGTATAAAAGGTACAAAATTCTTATGTAAGACGCGTCTTGGATAAGACGCGTCTTACATAAGAACAGGCCTTTTAACTGTTCTTATCTAAGTCGCGTCTTAAATAAGAAATTTTGGACAAAAAGTCTAACTACACATGCCAGAAACTTGAAACAACGTAAAATTATTAGCCTTGCATATTAAAACAAAAACAAACAAAACAACATTATAGCTATAGCAAATAAATAAGACCAAAGCCGTAGAGAACCATTTATGCGATAACTCCGCTTATTTAAGTCGCGTCTTATGTAAGTCGCGACTTATTTTGTCCCGTATAAATGGCCCTATTGTCAGATTTTTTGGCCAACCCATCAAGCTGCAGAGCGCCGAAGAGGCTAAGCTGGGGGTCATACCATTTTTCGCTACTAAGAGTGTAGTACGTAAAAAGTTGGTCAAAAAGGAAAAAGTTACTTGAAGTTGTTGGAGCTGAAAAAAGTTGCTCAAAGCGCAAAAAGATGCCGAGCAAAATCGGGACATGCGCCTAGCAGAGATTCGCCGTTGACGAGCAAAATCGGTTAGGAGTATATAGGGTTAGGAGTAGGGTTGCGGTTACAGTGCTGTAGGAAGCTTTTTTGATTGGGGAAGCTGAAAGCGAGGGCCAAAGGCCCGAGGAAATTTTCAAATTTAGAATCTTTGAAACGACATTTCCTGGACTTTGGGGAAGATTTTTAACAGAATTCTGAGGGTCAGACAGCAGCATTTTAGTATGTCGAAATTTACAATTTAGTAGCACTACATGGGCGAAGGCGTATTTAATTAACTATATATTGGATAAGTTGCAAGAAAGAATGAGAAATATCTTCATTCTTGCAGTTTGTCATGGATAATGTAGGTATATATATATGTATAGAATTTCGCTTACCTCAAAATTCCGCAACAGTCTGTTTCATCAGTAAAGAATCATCAGGCGGTATGACAAGTTTCGAAAAATAGGGCTGCTTATATGTGTGCTTTGTTTCACCCACACACCCCCACGTTCCGGCCAAAACACATATAAGCAGCCCTATTTTTCGAAACTTGTCATACCGCCTGATGATTCTTTACTGATGAAACAGACTGTTGCGGAATTTTGAGGTGAGCGAAATTCTATATATATATATATATATAAAGGTATATATATATATATATATATATATATATATATATATATATATATATATATATATATATATATATATATATATATATATATATATATATTATTTAAATGATAAAGGTCTGCACGATTTTGGAAAAAGAATGATTATTACCAAATTATTGGGGGGGGGCTTCAGCCCCCCGGTTGCTACGGCCCCGGGTTAGGAGTAGGGTTGGGGTACCACGTCAATTAACTACAAAGACCGCTAAACAGTTAGTGACTCGGACATTTGACTCTGGCTCGGATTTGACTCGGACTTAACACAGCAAACCGACAAACTCCTTACTAAATTAAACAATGTATAAAATACCTGTCTGAAGCACACTGAATTTAATTGTGCATTATAACTCAATCTTTTTTAATTTTCTTCCACTCCAGTAGTCTGAAAGACGGATATGCACGTTACTTCTTGTTTTTCGAGCAATATATATATTCGTTTGCATGAAAAGCGAGCAAAATAATGCCTATTCGAACTTGTCACATCCTAAAATATACGCATGAAACGCATGAATTTTTCTTGTTGTTTCATCTAAAATATATAGTTTTCTACTGCCAGAAGCGTGTAATATCATGTTACTAGGGCATAGAGGTCGAGACACATGCATTGGGATTTAATTCAATTATGTGAATATCACGTTCAAGTGTTGCTGTGTATAGGTATTTT